CTCTTGTACTAAGCTGCAATAATGTGCAAATATCTTATTTTGTCTTAAAAACAGTTTTTAGTCGGTAGATAACTGTGTTTTTGCTATGAAACTACAAACATGGTCGAACGGGGTGGAGTCGAATGTTCAGCGACCTGGAGGGGGCGGGGTGTGAAATATCTCACTTGTATTTAAAGAGACCGCACCAAAACAGCTTGCTCTGAGGCGCAACTCAGAACAGGGGTAAACCAAGGAAAGCAAGAAGTCTGTGGAGCAACAAAAACGAGGAATTATGACCAAAGCGTTGCAGTTTTATTTTAAATAGACCATTAGTGAATGATTTAGACGTGAAAAAGAAGGATTTAAAAGCATGATATGATGACATTTAATGACTTTTAAGGCTTTTTGATGCTCSGCAGAAACCCTGAAATTATCCCAGTTAGCATCTTGTGTTTTTATTTATACTCCAAAGAATTTGTATCATGATGTATTTTTGCAAGTAAAAGTATCTTTTTATTTATTTATTGTTTTCTTTTAGCCTGGATACAGCAGAAGGTGGGTAACACTGTCAAAGGAATTTCTTTAGGAATTGAAAATAAAGAAAGTCCTTCTTACTGATGCCTGCTTTTTATATAACTCTAAACTGTCAATGATACGTGTAGTTTTGATCACATGCAGAAAGCATTGAGGTTTCTGTGGTTTGTAACAGTTTGGTGTTGGTTCCACAAAGAGGCAGCCTCAGGTTTGCTGCAGCACACAAACAACAGAAAAGAAAAAACAAAAATAGAATAACACTAATCCTCACTAAAACACAGATCAAACTATTTGCATATATGTGTCTTTAGGTTCCAGAGATTATTCATTGGAAAAGTATGTGCTCTGCAGATGTGAGTGGGCAAAGTCAATAATTTGAGCAAACTTGCCCAGCATGTTTTGTTTTTCTTTCACTCCTGCACACATTATCAGCAGCAATCTGAGCAGACAACCCAGGGGTTTTGAGTCTCAACAATTTACCTTTCACGGCAGAATGCCACTTCACTGAGCAACAGCYCACTTGTACTACAAAAGATTCAGACATTGAGATCCCCCCCTAATCACACAGAACACAGTATGGATGTACTGTATACTGTATGTCCTGTATATAGTGAGATGTACTGTACATAGTGAGCCAAAAAAGCAAGATAACATTTTTGTAAAACTCGTTTGATGTCATTCAACTTTTAGTGAACTTGAAAATCACAGACTGTGTATTTACGACATCTCATGTGAATTAATAAAACAACACTGTCGATAACGTCATGTAAATAAATGATGCACTCTATGTTTAAGGTCATTTTAGAAGTTTTGCACGTAGGAGCACAAAACACTCATTGTCTATTAAAAACATTTTTGGACACTGACTCGTTAAAAAAACTATACTATAAAAAAWTCTCAGACTGAATTCATGCACTAATCTCATTTTAGTTTCTCATGCAAGAAGTGCCACACACAGTTACCAGTTGTGTGGATTTATAGAAGCAAAATAATTCCATGGAAATGCTCCTAACTAATGAGACATTGAGCGTCAAATGATTCTACTCCATAGGTGTAAAATTCAGAAGCCGACTGTTGTGCGTTTATGTTTGATTGCAAGCAACAGGGACAGTTTTGAGAAGTAGTTGGCCAGGGCAGTCAGAGTACATCCATGTTTAACTCTTCGACATACTTATAAAGATTATCAAATGGTCAAAAACTACTGGATGGAGATAGCAGAGATGTTGTGCACGGAGCAGCCTGATTGCAAAAAAGTGTGGYGCTCTATCCATGGCAGATTTGTGGGCGAATAGCGAGCTTGGAGTGGAGAAAACCTGAGACGTGTACTGCAGTGGGACAGGTTTTCCAGGAGCTCTGCTTCGTGTGTCTCATGAACTGTGAAATGTGTGTGCAAAAACACAGTAAGATGACTTTTGGCTTCAGGTGGAGTTTGGAGCATCTGTTAATTCCTCCATGAGAACATCTAACAGATCCTCTAAACCACATTCTACAGATAGTGTGGTACTAACTACTCACATCCCTTTAACCTGCTGAAATACTAACAATGACTATAGCAGTAGTCATTATGACATAATCTAGCTCTTTAGGTATTCATGTGTATTTTGTATTAACAATTTCCAGGTATTTAAGTACTGGCTACATTTTACAACCACGTGTTCTTAATGGTGAAATTGCAAAAATCACCTGCATGTTGCAGGATGTTAAGTTTAACACCACTCTAGGAACATTGACGTCAAGTCACCCACCACAGGAAATGTAAAACGTTTTGATAAAGAAGACCATCTGCAGCAGTGTGAGTTGGGGGTGTGAAAACAAGTTTCATATATTACATTATACCAGGTCAAGAAATAGAATCTTGATTCTTGAATCTTACCGTACTGAGAATGGTAAGGCCCTGTCACGCTATAACTTTTTAGACAACTTATGCTCACAGGCACATGCTAAAGAAAAGAAAAAAGATATAAATGCCATCTCCACTCGTGACGTCAAGCATTTCATTATCTGCAGCTCTCTCAAATGATCGGAYAATTGGCGTGGATTATACAAATATTCAGAGTTAATATCGTAGCAGAAAAAGATGTTCCTAGAGCTAATTTTGACACATCCAACTTCAGGAATCACATTGTTTGTTGGCTGAAGGGTCGAGGACTTCCACAGACTTGGAAAGCAAGTGGAAATGTTAAAAAGGTTGGTGCTTTTACAGGTGTTTTATAGCTTAGCTTGCTGCATCTCTCTTTTGTGTATTTTCATCACTCAAGCCACTGCTTCTGCATCGTTTAAAAAACTTCATGATGTTTAAAATTTGTGTAAATATAATATTTTCACCGTATGTGTGACTGACTGCAGTAGATCGCTGTATGAGGCTTGCATAGATGCTACGAGTAAAGCTAGCAGTAGGCTACAGTAAAAACAATAAGGCTTACTGTACCTGTTTATCCAATCCAGACTTTAGCTTGCACCTTAGCTTGGGAAAAGTAACAAAAAAAAAAAACTCCTTCCATGCGTCGATGATGGCTGTATCCTGAGTCACAAGAACTGAAGCACAATGCTTTATGGTCGTAGTGGTGGAGTTTCATGCTGCTTTCCCGCATTTATTCAAGTTTAAACATAGATTAACCTGCGCACTGTGGTTGAAACCATTGGAGCCCACTACAAGAGTTTGTACACACACCGGTGCGCACATGAGTGGGGTTCTAAAACTAGCCTGAGTGGAGACCACTATTTTCACCTTGATTGGTTCAAACTGGTGACCGGCTGGATAAATCCTAAAAATCTGATTTTTTTGTTTTAAGTGGTTAGTAATGAAAAAAAAAACTACTTTTATCTGGTCTGTGAATGCACCACAGGAAGCATGTCTACATGTAGAAGTTTTTTTTTTTACCGTGAGTAATGACATCCAAAAGATAACAATTTGTAGAGTTTAGTCTGGCTGAACAGGAAGAATATAAAAAAAGAAACAGACTATCTAGTGATGAGGTAGAAATAC